TTGTTTTCCTCTATTTCTTTGCATTGATCACTGAGGAAGGCTTTCTTATCTCTCCTTGCTATTCTTTAGAACTCTGCATTCAAATGGGAATATCTATCCTTTTCTCCTTTGCTTTTTGCTTCTCTTCTTTTCACAGCTATTTGTAAGTCCTCCTCAGACAGCCATTTTGCTTTTTTGCATTTCTTTTTCTTGGGGATGGTTTCGATCCCTGTCTCCTTATAATGTCACGAACCTCCGTCCATAGTTCATCAGGCACTCTGACGAACTAGCTTTCAGAATTGACCATCTGGTGATATCCATGTGTAGACTAGTCTCTTGTGTTGTTGGAAGAGTGTGTTTGCTATAATCAGTGTGTTCTCTTGGCAAAACTTTATTAGCTTTTGCCCTGTTTCATTCTGTACTCCAAGGCCAAATTTGCCTGTTATTCCAGGTGTTTCTTGACTTCCTTAGCTTTAAATGCTCTCATAATTAAGAAATGCAGGGGGACTTCTCTGGCAGTCTAGTGGTTAAGACTCTGAGCTTTCACTGAACAGGGCATGAGTTCTATCCCTGGTCTGGGAACTAAGGTCCCCCATTCGCATGCACAGTCAGATTATTTAGAAAAAAAAAAAAAAGGGAAGAAAAGAAACATAGGAAGAAAGTCACTCTTTTTCCTTGGGATGATGTTCTATGCAGTTGTGACACCTGGAACTGATAAATACATTTTTGCTACCATGAGAGTAGCCAGCCTGAATCACCAATGAAAATGTGAAGCAGATATGTTGTCAAAGTGCATCTGGACAAATAAATACCTAATATTAATTTGAAAAAAAAATTTATTTTTAAAATATTTAATTAATAATATCTGTTGTTTTTTAGTTGCTCAGTCATGTCTTACTCTTTGCCACCCCATGGACTGCAGCACACCAGGCTTCCCTGTCCTTCACTATTATTAATTAATAAGTTTTAATTCAGTATGTTTAGAAGGATCCAAGGGTTACTTCTTGGGGTTTTCACAGTTTCAGTGAAAAATCAGATGCATATTAATATGTGAAAGAAACAGAAATTGGTATGATGATTATTATATATCTATCATAAAACACAAGTAGGATAAGAAATACTTTGAAATTTAAAAAACACTGATCATAAGAAGACTGTACACAGAAAGCTTTAGACTTCTAGGATTATCCATCTTCTCTAAGTTACTATTCTGTGGTGTTTCTAAGATCTCTATAATTACAATGATACTATTATGAATGCAGATACACAAATCACTTTCCTTAACTTGTTTAGAATGAATAAACCTTGCTGTTATGCTTAGTGCATTGCCAGTATGATTTAGCATGTTTTCTTGGGCAATACAATTGCCTTTTATGAAACCTTAAGAATCAGATTTGAGTGGAATTGACTACAATCTCAGGTAGAAAGTGAGGTAAAGAAGATAAAGGATTGGAGCAAAAGAACATGGAAAAGAGAAGCTTGGAAAATATATTATTAAACTAGTGATACTTTAAACAAATGTCAAACTCTAGTTAAAGACATCCATGCAAAAGCAGATAGAGGGAATGATACAGACGTCTGCAATTTACTTGGAAATGTCAAAAAAAGTGGATTGATGGATGGATAGATGGAAAGTTACAGGATTAAAATGTTAATGTAAAATCTAGGTGATAGGTTGAAATGTCTTCCAGTTTTGTTGTATCTTGGAAGCTTTTCAAATTAAGATTTATTTGGAGGGCGATGGGAACAAGAACATTTATATTCTGTGGTATGTGATTCCAAAACCAGCCATGATTCCTCAATTCTTCAGCTTTCCCTTTGCAATGGGACTCTGTTAAGTCCTTCCATTAAGCCTATTTCCTTTCTCCTTACATCTGAGCCGTTCCTGTGACTTGCTTTCACCAACAGAAGGCAGTGTAAGTGACTGTGTGCCATTGCCGAATCTAGGTCTCAAGGAAGTTGTGTGCTTTCATTCTCTTTCTTGGAACTCTGCTTCTGCTTCAAGAACAAGTACAGGCTAGCCAGCTGGAAGATGACGGACCATGTGGAGTGCGCTGAACAGCCAGCCTCCCACTGATGAGGAAGTTGATCACCAGCTCATGAGTAAGCCCAGCAAGATCAGTAGAGCCTAGCCCTAATGAGCAAAACCACCCAGCTGCCCTGTATATTTGTGAGAAATAATAAAGAGTTGTTTTAAGTCACTAAATTCGTAGGTGGCTTGTTATACAGTATTACCGTGCCAATAGATAAGTGATACAAAATAGATGTTTTGAGTCATACAAGTCATTTAAAAGAATGATTATGACAGTAGATTTCCTTCCCAGAAACAGAAAAAATATATGTGAGAAATATTTCTCCCACAACCCAGGTCTAAGCAGCCACCTTTTACAAAGGAGATTATTTCCCAAAAGGGATTATTGGCCATCTGTAAATCATAGTAGTTATCGAATTAGTTCTATTGTCTAGAATTTAGTGAAAAACAGTTGTGTTCCCTTTGTTGTATTTCCAGTGAATTTGGTATCAGGTAAACCTTACCTTGTGTGGTCAATAAGTGAAGATTTCTGTTACCCAACCAATATTCACCATTTTTTTGAACAAAATTTCCAAAGCCATTTTCATAGTCACTCCAGCCTCTAAAAAATGAAAGTGAAAGCTGATTTTAGCAAAATCCAAATGGACCTTTGCAGTACCCAAGGTGCACACTTCTACCCCTACCCACAATATCTTCTTGATTAGCTAATGCACTTTATTTATTTAGAAAGAATGAAGTTCTAAAACACTTTGGGATATAATAAAGAGGCTTAACTTTTGTAAACCTCATATTTCCTACTCCAAATAAATCCTTATGTCATAATTAGCACACCTGTTAAAGTTTTCACTGCCATCAGATCGTCTCTGAATTACAGTCCATCCTCCTCCATCAGACATATCACAATAAACAGAGAATTCTGCTGGGCTCTGGAGAGGTTTGATTTTGTAAAATCCACTCTGCTTGTACCCGTCATTGAAAATCTCTGAACAATCTGTTTGGAAAACAAAGTAATGTAATATTTGTCATGTGTCTTTTTTTTTTTTTTAAAGGGAGCCTCTGAATGAGATTACTCAGTACTAATGGAGACAGATAATTACATGATGTAGATAATCAGCTGTTTAAAACTGCATCTTGTACATCTTCCAGTGGGTACTAGGATGTTCTTTTTTTCCTAGATGATACAATTATCATCTGACTTCTTGATATGATCATGGAAAAAATAAAATGGTGAAATAGGTATATGGTTTCACATTTCTGATTTTTTAGAAGAGTCTGAAATTATGTTTTAGTTAATTACAGTATATTTAAGTGAAAGCTATATCTTTATCAGACAGGACAGAGGAATCTTTTTCTCTCTTGGCACTAAAATGAAAGTAGAAATATATAACACCAAACAAATAATTTAAAATGGATTATCTTGATTTACAGCATTATAAATTATTCTGGACAGCTGGAAATGAACTCAAAATAGTAATCTTGTTAGATTCTTATAACCTCCCAGTCTCACCAGAGTTTTTACTCACCCACTGAAATTTCTAAGAGTCCATGCATTCTTAGATGTTTTGATAAAAACTGCAAGTTTCTATTATTTCGTCCCTGTAGTCTTCTCTGTGCTGGTATTTCTTTGACCACTGAAGCTACCAATTTGTCACCAAAAAGTAATATCTGTTTCTTAAATCACGTGAGGGTGGGATAAATAAATAACCATTGGTCTCATCTAGGCTAATCTGTGCTGAATTAGAGAACATGGCTGATATGTGTGTCCTAGGTCACTTCAGTCACGTCCAACTCTGTGGAATCCTATGGACTGTTGCCCACCAGGCTCCCCTGTCCATGGGATTCTTCAGGCAAGAATATTGGAGTGGGTTGCCATGCCCTCTTCCAGGGGATCTTCCCAACCCAGGGATCGAACTGTAATGTGCATTGCAGATGGATTGTTTACCACAATCCTCCTGCATTGCAGGTGGATTCTTTACCACTAAGCCACTGCGGAAGCCCATTCAGCAGATATGAACTCACTATTGTTTAGATGCCCAGGCAGCTATGTTTTAGGGTAGTTGAATTAATGGTCACTGTAAAGAGATAGTTTCAAGGATACCCAATAACAGACTTTTGAATACAAATACTATAATTTAACATCACTAACTTTCAAATTTTACCCTTATCATTTTGTTCATTTCCTCCTTTTTAAAAAAAAATTTTCTACAATTCTGTAACTATAAATGGTGACGGGTGTTAACTGGACTTAGTGTAGTGATCATTTCACAATATATACAAACATCATATCATTATATTATATACCAGAAACTAGTATAATGTTTTATGTTCAATTGTACCTAATAAAAAATTTCTTGCCCTGATTGACAATTCCATTCTTTTAGCATATTAAGTTCTTTCTTCGTTTTCATTGTTCTGATGCCAAATTGTCTATAATTTTGTTACAAATAAAATATATACCACATTAAACAGATTGAACAGGCAATAGGAATCAGAGGAGAAATAAAAATAAAAAACCTTAGTCTCTTTCTAAAACCATCATCAGGTTGAGACCCATCATATATACTACTGCTTTGGTGAGATGTCCATTTTTCTAATGAGTTATGCCTTAATCATGTATTTATCTTTGAGATTCAGAAGCCCATGTGTTCTTTCCACATCCTGGATTATTTTTTTAAAATCCTGTTTTAAACAATGTGAAAATGATTATCTAAAATTAGTTCAAGGTTGTTCAAAAGCTTACATCTGTGGTCAAGTACATTGCACAGCATTTTTCATTAAAGTAAGCAGATTTTTTTTCCATTTACTTTTTTTTAAAATTGGAGGATAATTGCTTTACAATGTTGTGTTGGTTTCTGCTGTACAACAATGCGAATCAACCATAAGCACATATATATCCCCTCGCTCCTGAGCGGCCCTTCCACCCCGCCTCACACCCCCAGGCTGTCACAGAGTACTCTGTAGCCTCCCACTGGCTATTTTACACATGGCAGTAGGCAATGGCACCCCACCCCAGTACTCTCGCCTGGAAAATCCCATGGACGGAGCAGCCTGGTAGGCTGCAGTCCATGGGGTCGCTAAGAGTCGGACAGGACTGAGCGACTTCACTTTCACTTTTGGCTTTCATGCATTGGAGAAGGAAATGGCAACCCACTCCAGTGCTCTTGCCTGGAGAATTCCCGGGATGGGGGAGCCTGGTGGGCTGCCATCTATGGGGTCACACAGAGTCGGACACGACTGAAGTGACTTAGCAGCAGCAGCAGTGTGTATATCAATGCTTCTTTCTCAATTAGTCCCACCCTCTCTTTCCCCTGCTGTGTCCACAAGTCTGTCCGCCATGTCTGCATCTCTATTGCTGCCCTGCAAATAGGTTAATCAGTATCACTATTCTAGATTCCATATATATGTGTTAGTATGCAATATTTATTTTTCTCTTTCTTACTTCAGTCTGTGTAAGCTCATTAGGAAAAGAGCTCTTTGCTTACATTTAGCCCCCTTCCAAAGAGCTGAATAGTAAAGACTCACAAGGTTCAGACTATTTCCCAAGCAAATATGGAAATAATTAGCTGTAACATTTGCCTCTGGAAAACTCTGTGAATATGGACTTTTCAGCCAACATTTTCTATTTGTTCTTATTTTATGCCAACTTCGAGTTTAAGTTTTTAAAAATTTTTTGATCTTCCCAGAGGAAAATGCCAAACACAACTTAAAATTCAGAGGAAAGATTTCCACTGAAAACAACAACAACAACAACAACAAAACAAAACCCAAGCAAAGAAAAGTACCACTAGCTCAATTTCTTACAGCAAATAGGTTAAGGAGCCTGCCTTGGGAAAATGTGGCTTTTACTCTGATAGAAAATTCAAGAAATGGAGGGTTTAAAATATTAAATAGATATTTTAATCTATGATTTTCAAAATGCTTTGACTCACTCAACCACCCCAGAGAAGAGGGAGAAGAGGGGTAGGGTTAGAGAGCTTGGTGTTCATGGGAGTTTAAAAAAGAATTTTTGGATACTTACGTAATGTTAGAATGAGGCCAAGGCTTCCTGCCCTGTTTGACAAACACTGTGTTAAACTGGGTGAGGTGAATACTCTCTGCTCAGGCAGAAAGCAAACTGTGCTGGAAGGATAAATGTTGAAGCTTCACAAAGGGACATGCCAGCCCGCCAAATGAACTTTTCCTCCTTGTCCCAGAATGGTGACTGAGAACCAAAGGCAAAGTACCTCCCCATTCTAAACTCCAAGGAAGGCCAGCCTGAGCTCAGCCACATGCCACAGAGCATGCTGGGAAATGCCAGGAATGCCATCTTCTGCCCCTGGCAACAGATGATGACACTTAGAGGAGAGAGAGGAAGTTGCAATATTGCTGGGGGGGATTGGTGGGCTCTTTGCTCTGAAAGTAAAGGAGAGAAGATATAATAATGTAGGTAGAGAGCTGGCATTCACTGAGCTAAAGGAGAAATGCTTTTGTAAGCATTTCATTAGATCTATTAACTTATTTGATCTTCACACCAAAGAAACAGGTATCCTTATCATTCCCATTTTTTTTCTTTTTTTTTTTTTAATCTTTTTTTTTTAATTAGTTGGAGGCTAATTACTTTACATCATTACAGTAGTTTTTGTTATACATTGAAATGAATTAGCCATGGATTTACATGTATTCCCCATCCCAGTCCCCCCTCCCACCTCCCTCTCCACCCGATCCCTCTGGGTCTTCCCAGTGCACTAGGCCCGAGCACTTGTCTCATGTACCCAACCTGGGCTGGTTATCTGTTTCACCCTAGATAATATACATGTTTCAATGCTGTTCTCTTGAAACATCCCACCCTCGCCTTCTCCCAGAGTCCACAAGTCTGTTCTATACATCTGAGTCTCTTTTTCTGTTTTGCATATAGGGTT